CACACACACACACACACACACACACACACACACACACTCACTCACTCACTCTTTGAGCCACCCAGGCACTTAGGCCAAGAGGGTTTCTGTGTTGGTGCACCGGCGAAGGGTCTGTGCTCCCTTTGCAGTGTTTAATCTCGGCGTGTATCGGCGTCAAGCAGTCAAGTCCTATAAATCCTATGACTTTTTCCGCCACGACAACGAAGAGGCCATGAAGATACGCAAGTAAGCCTCTCACAAGGGCCCAATCCCTGGGGCTTTCTTGGCCATCGGGTGGACAGTTGGACCCCACAGGGCTTTGTTTTCCTTTCCGTAAACATCTCCTGGGAGTTAGGTGACAGGCAGGTCGCCTGGGGCTTAGATGGGGAGAAGAATGGGCTCAGCAGGCACATGTGGGCTAGGTGTAAAGAGTGAAGCTGTATTGCTTTGGGGCAGGGGGAGGGTGTAAAATAGAGTACTGACCTCAGGGGGAGGAGCTGAGAAGTCTGCGGAAGAGGACATTTTGCCTAGTGGGAAGTGATGTGAGCCCGAGTGCTCTGGCTGTGGCCCAGCGTGATCCTGGCCGCCTGGTCCGGCTGACTTCCTCCCTCTCCTGGCAGACAGTGTGCCCTGGTGGCGCTGCAGGACGTGACGGCGTATCTCACAGAGGAGAGTGGGCAGATCGCGGTGAGCACCAGCTGCAGCTTCCTCTGCTTGGTCCCCACCCTGTCAGCAGTGTGGCTGCTCAGACCCCGCTTGGGTGAGCCCGGGTGGGCTTACATATCTTGTTTCCACCTGTCTACCCCATGTGCCATCTTCCCAGGTGTTTGATGCCACTAATACCACCCGGGAAAGAAGGGACATGATCCTGGACTTTGCAAATGAAAACTCCTTCAAGGTAGGATCAGACTCTCCTGCCGGGGCCACACGGGGAGAGGCGGTGAGGAGTGAGGATGGTGGGAGGAGGTGAGTGGCTCTCTGATTTTCTTCTCTTGGGGCACACCCCCACGCCTGGAGCATCGTCTTTCCAGGCCCCTCTTAGGCCCTGAGCCTGTATGTCTGAGGCCGTGGGGAGGTGGCAAGAGTGATTTAAAGATGAGTAGACTTAAAGTCCATCTTCATGAAGGGGATCCAGGGCGACGTGCTGGCTGAGCCTGTGCGTCACTCGCCAGGCACAGCTGTTCGTTGTCGGCTCACGTGTCACTGCTTTCTCTCTCCCGGCCCAGGTGTTCTTTGTGGAGTCCGTCTGTGATGACCCTGCTGTCATCGCTGCCAACATCCTGGTGGGTGACACCCCCACATGCCAGCCCCTCGTTATCCTTTGCACCCTACGTTGGCGGTGGTGGTGGCGGTGGGCAGGGAGGGACCAGACAACTGGGCAATGAAAGACATAGAAATGTCTGACTGATCTTTTCTGTCTGCCTGAGCATACTCTTGCTGCAGGAGAGGAAACTAATGGTTTGGAGAGTAAGTTAACTGTGGCATGGAGACCCAAGTCCTGGCCCCACGTCCTGGGGGCTGGGCGGGTGGCGAGCAGAGAGATAGCTAAGTCCTGGCAGATAGGGCACAACCTTCCAGGGTTTCACCTCTCCATCCCACTTCCCAGCCTCTGCTGGGGGAGATCATTCAGCTAGTTACAGTGGGTCCTTGGGCGCCTCCGTGGGTTAAGGCAGTCTGGGTGATCTTGCTCTGCTGAGAAGAAACTGGGAAAAAGAAAAAAGGCGACAGAGCCTGTCATAGACCAGTTTTCCTAAGCGGAAGTAGGGATGCTCCCTTGTGGTGGTCACCAAATGCCAGGACGTGCTAAGTCAACACTTCCTGAGCTTGAGCTGGTTTTTTGAGCAGACATTACGGTCTTACTCACTGCCCCAGAGTCGATTCTGACTCATCATGACCCCGCAGGACAGGATAGAACTGCCCCTGTGAGTTTCCAAGACTAAATCTTTTTGGGAATTGAAAGCCTTATCTTTCTCCCCAAGAAAGAAGCAGCTGGTGGTTTTGAACTGCTGACCTTGCAGTTAGCAAGCCCAGGGCATAACCTGGTACTTTCAGCTCGAAAGGATTAATGTAACTATGCCACAAGCGTGCCGGGGTGGGATGGTGGAGTTGCTGCGGGGGTCGGCGGGTTGGACAAGGGGCAGTCTCATCAGCGCTGTTTTCAGTAGCTATGCCCCTGGTAGGGGAGTATGCCCTTGGAATAGATCAGACTCTTTTCAATCTGTCAAGGCCACCAGTTGGGATGCACATCTGCCCAGCCCTTGCCTCATGTTCAGACCAACACTGTCTGCATTGAGGAACTCAAGTCCGGTGGGCCACGGGATAGGAGCGTCCCCATTTGATGGGCTGTTTGGTGCTGAGGGGGGGACATCTGTGCATGGTATCCTGGCGGTCACGTATGAGCAAGTTGGGAACATGGGGTCATCTAGGGAAGAGACATCTGGTTCAAGTTAGGCACGGATCTGGTGAAGCCCCCTCCTCTGAATGGTGACGAGGGCCAGTCGAGTCCCTTTCTGTCCCCTTTGTGGACCTAAAGGGGCTGGGGCCCAGCAGTAGCTTTTGTGGCTTGACTGTCTCTCTCCAGCCAAGGGCAGGCACGTGATGCCCCAGTTGTCTTTCTCGTCCCGGTTACCAGAGTCACAGGCCGGGAGAGGGGTGCTTGATGAAAGGGGACCGCCAGTCCTCCAGTGAAAGGCCACTTTTACGGACGTCTTTTTTTTACCAGTGGCTCTTTGCAGGAGGGCTGTTAAGGGCAGACCTCGGGTGAGGCCCTGCTATTCTCATGATTTCAGGAGGTGAAGGTATCGAGCCCTGACTATCCAGAAAGGAACAGGGAGAATGTGATGGAGGACTTCCTGAAAAGAATCGAATGCTACAAAGTCACCTACCAGCCCCTGGACCCAGACAACTATGACAAGTAAGGTCTACGGCCGTGCTCTGAAAGCTTCTCAGCACTCTGACCTCAGGCTTCCACTGGCGATCCAAACCCAATCGTGGCTATTCTGTCCAAGAGAAATAACACCTCAGGATCTGGGATTTCTGTGTGGGTTGCATAGTCTACTGAATATTGAAGTGTTTAGTTTTTCAGTTCTATCTCTTTCTCCTCCCGAAAGATTTTTTCTGAGTTCGGTGTCTTGGACATTTTGAACAAGGAGAATTCCTTCTTGTGAGAAGCCATCCAGTGCCTTACAGCGACATCTCCGGTGTCTGCCCATCAGAAGCCACTAGTAGCCGCCAGTTCTCTGACAACCAGAAACGTCCCCAGACATTGCCAAATAATGTCCCTGGGGGACCACGTTCCCATCTACCAAGAGCCAGGAGTTCTGTACTAAAGGGCTGCAGGGCACCCCTCAGGGACGTGTCACCATTTGGGGACTGAAAAATGTAACATTTCCTGTATACATATACAAAGAATATGTAAATATACATGTTTATATGTGTTATATATTATATCATATAACCTAGCCCATCATACATATTACATACACTATATCATGTGATGGTCTTAAGAACGCACATGGCTCTGAGAAATGTCTTCACCATTGTAAGCCATCAGTGCAGTGTAGAGTCCAGATGAGCTTGCTGTGTGTGAGGTCTGAGACCCTCACAAAGCACAGAGCCCATGCCAAGGGAAGATGACCGCACCTGGAAACATCTGAGAATGTGGCCCTGCAAGAGAGCCTGGGAAACAGATTGGAAAAGGGAGCGGCCCTGCGGGGCAGGCATGTGGCAAGAGAGAGGGCACGACAGTTGCCATGGTCTGAGCCTCTCAGTTCCTTCAAGCGGATTGCCCAGCACTTCGCAGGTGGAAATGCTGTCTTAATATAGAGGTTGATCAACACTGCCCTAGGGATTGCATAATAGTCCACCCTTCCTATTGCTCAACGTCCTGTGTAGAGAAACACTAGAAGACTATGTATACATGTCAAAGTGGTTATCAAGGCTATCTTTGGTCTCAGGGTTATTCGTATCATTCTATCTGCCTCCATACTCACCCTGAATATTTTTGTTAGTAAGCATTTCTACTCTTTTCATGGGGAAAAAGTCAGTGATAGCCACTGAGTAAATGGTGTGCCCAAAGTCCCTTTGAGAGGGGCTTGATTGGATACAGGGCGATCTGTCCATGGCTCTGCCATCTCCTCCCCTCTCCTCACTGCTAGTGGTGCAGGTTTGGGCCAGACCTTGGCTACCTCAGGGGAGCTGTGCATGCCAACAGATTTGGGGCTCAGCAGACTCTTTGGGCACAAATCTTGTCTAGCCTCTGAGAAGAAGCAGGGATTCAGCGTGTCATATTTACCTAGGTTGCATGGCACTGATTCTATAACCCTGACTTATTAGAAGGTCAGGAGATTGGACATAATTACAGTCTTGGGGAGGAATTCATTTCTTACATTTCTGGAAATGTGGGTCAGGCGTGACAGAGGTGAGGAGGCAGAACTATGACGAACCTGGGAGGAACTGCAGAAATCCTTCTCCCTCCAAGTCATATCCCCAGACCGGGAGGAACAGTGGAGTGGAATGGAGGCGGTGCAAATGGTTAAAGCACTCAGCTGCTCGCCAAGCGGTTGGTGGTTTGAACCCAACCAGGGGCATCTCGGAAGCCAGGCGTGGTGATATGCTTCTGAAGGGTCTCAGCCCGCAAGCCCCGTGGAGCACAGCTGGGGCCAACATGAGTGGGACTTGACTTTCAGCAGCCCATAGCGTTTCAGACATAGGGTCTTTTTCTTATATCTGCCCCCTCTGCTTTTCAAAGGGATCTTTCTTTCATCAAGGTGATAAATGTGGGCCAGCGATTTCTGGTGAACCGGGTCCAAGACTACATCCAGAGCAAGATCGTCTACTACCTCATGAATATCCACGTCCATCCTCGAACCATTTACCTCTGCCGGCACGGGGAGAGCGAGTTCAATCTCTTGGGGAAGATCGGGGGTGACTCTGGCCTCTCGCTGCGAGGAAAGCAGGTGAGTCATTACCTAAGCTCACTGCTGTTAGGTTAATGCCGACTCAATACAACCTTATGGAACAGGGTAGAACTGACCCCTGAGGGTTTCTGAGACTAACTTTATGGGAACTGAAAGCCCAGTCTGGTCTTTGTCTAGGACAAGTTACCCAGTAGGCTGGGTTTTCTAGGCTTAGGGGTCAGAGGGCATGGCTGAGATCAGCTCTTTGATCCATCAAGCCCATTGTATGCGATGCCTGCCGCCTGTGACCTGAGATAGTCAAGCAAATGCCACAAATGTTTCCTTGCTCACTGATACCAGCTCTGTACTGAACACTGGGCAAATTGGAGCCATTTCTGCTGGGACCATTCACCCACTGGACATTTACTGGGCACACCGTGGGTCCTTAGCACAGTACAGGGTGCTCCAGTTGAAGTACGTTTCCTCTTGGGTTGATAATAACTATGGAGCACCGTACAGATTTTGAATGTGGCCATACATATTTTCCTTTATGGGCAGAGTTAGCAGTTGCAAGTGCGTGCGTGCGTGCGTGTTTTCTTTTTTTTAAAACGCGTATCTTCAAACCCAGTTTTCCCAGGCACTAAGGAAGTTTCTTGAAGAACAGGAGATCGTGGACCTCAAAGTGTGGACGAGCCAATTGAAGAGGACAATCCAGACTGCGGAGTCCCTGGGGGTGACCTATGAGCAGTGGAAGATTCTGAACGAGATAGATGCTGTGAGTAGGACGTCCGTCCCGAGGGCTACTAAGCCAGTCAGAGCTCCCCCGTCGGGCAAGAACTCTCACAGCACAGTCTGGGCAACTTATCTAGAAAATCTGAACCACCTCGCTGTAAGTTTGAATCTCAGGCCACTTTAGGCCCTGTGGGAAGGAAGTACAGACAATTACACCCACAGTGGGGGCTTCCTGCGCCCTTCTAGTACCTGCGCCAAGGAAGGATGGCTTCTAATCCAGTTGTCATCGCCTCCCTCTGGCGCTAAGTAGTGCGGTGAAGCTAACAAGGACTCACTCGACTTCTTTGATTAAGTTGCTTCCTGGGAAAAAGGAAAGTTAACTGCTCAGGCCTTTAAATTTCTGTTTGGGCCCACTATTCTGGAAAAGCCCATTCTAAAGTTTCTCTTGGCTTTCTCTGTCCTTGGGCACAAGGGCAGGAATTTCCTTTTCTCTTCTCTCTCCCTTTTTATTTCCTTCTCCTTCAACAAGTCTCCAGCCCCCTCCTTCCCTTGTCTGCCCCTGGCCGCCTCCTCTTTTGATCCCATGTGCTTTTCTGGGCCTTACGTACTCCACAGTAGTGGGAGACAGTGACCATGTAGGCTCGGAGCCCTCTGTAGTAGCCCTCACCCTTTAAGCCCCGGGCACTTCCCAGCCGGTCAGTGGCCATATGCAAGAGGACCCAGCCCTCGCGGTGCTTGGTACTGAGAGCTAAACTGGCATGGTTCACTGCGAGCTTGGCCCTTCTTTGGGTGGGGCTGGTGCTGACCTGTCTCCCTCTTCAAGCATCCGGGGCCTCTTGCAGGGCGTGTGCGAGGAGATGACCTATGCCGAGATCGAGAAGCAGTACCCCGAGGAGTTTGCGCTGCGAGATCAAGAGAAATACCTGTACCGGTACCCCGGGGGGGAGGTGAGACGGCCCTCATGTGGTGCCTTTGCCCCAGCCCTCGTTGAGGACTGGACCTTAATTGAGGGGAAAGTCAGGGGTCCTGGGAAGGCTGTCGTAGGGGCCATTTAGTTTGTCCTTCGGCCTTCAGCTGGTCTTGTGCTTCACCCTGCAAAGTTGGGTCATCCATCTGTGATCTCCCAGGAACAGGTGGAGGAGTGTCGTTGAAGATGTGTGGGAGAAGCAGCAGGAGCTCAAGTGATCACGGTTCACTTTAAGATATTTCCATACATAAACCATGGAAGATGTGCCACTTAGCCACCTGGAAGGGTCCCGCTTGGTAACTTTAATTACATCCTCAGCGGGGCGCCACTTCCTCACAGCCCGAAAGCATCGCAGTCTGTTTCCTGGGGCTCCGCTGCTGCTAGCTCGCACCCCTCTGCCCTGCAAGTCGATGTATGAGATAGCAGTCCTCCCCCTGCCACCTTAGTCCTCCCCCTGCCACCTTTCAGGTGCTTAGTCTATTCCATGGTCGACGTGTGGCTTCATACACGCTTCTGAGGATCCGCAAGGCAAAGGTCTATAGAGCAGAATGACGAGAGACCAGGGGAGATGCCGGGACCTCTTGTGGTCCCACACTGCCTGTGAATCTGCGAGGAACAATCTAGAGTTCTTCTTTTTCTCTCCTTTGTTGTTGTTGCTGTTATAGTGCGTGCATGCGTTTTTCTTGTGCATGTATGTGTGGATGTGTGGATGTGTTTTGGTGAGCGTGCACACATTGAAAGCATGCCATTCTGCACACACCATTCCACAGCCCTGCAGGCCTTCATGTCAAGCAACCAGGGTCCCTGTCCTCCACCAGCTGCTGTTGCCGACTTTATCACACACAGGCCCTTCTTCCAAAGGGCCCGGGGCTTATGGCAGGCGTACTTTGCTAATAAGCCAAACTGCTATTTGCTATAAAGAAGACTTTTCCGGGGATAGTTGTGGATCACAGCTGAAGGATTATCTCAGGGCATTTGTTTGTGGGGCAGGGGAGCAGTGCGTCTCGCGCCAGTGGCTCCAGAAAGTCTGACCCATAGTTTTCTCGGTTGGAATCTTGCTTTTGAAAGGTCTTGAGTGTTCTCAAGAGCTGGCAGGCTGGGGGCAGTTAGCAGGTGACCGGTACAGTTGCTGAGCCTCCGGGAGGGAAGCCAGCTCGGGAGAGGGCGGAGTGACCTCTTCACGGTGGGACCCAGCCATGGCCTCGCTGCTGCCAGCGTGAGCCCGCGTCCTTCCAGCCTGCCCCACTTGCCCCCACAGTCGTACCAGGACCTGGTGCAGCGGCTGGAGCCAGTCATCATGGAGCTGGAGCGCCAGGGCAACGTCCTTGTCATCTCCCACCAGGCTGTCATGCGCTGCCTCCTGGCCTACTTCCTGGATAAGAGTGCAGGTGCCATGGGAAGGCAGGGCTGCGGGGAGGGAGGCATGCCTGGGGAGAGAGGGGAGGCCCTGGGGTTGCTAGGACCAGTGGCCACCAGCCCTTCCCCTCTTATGCTCAGAATGATGTACACTCTTCAGGCAGCAGCCTGGGGCTCCTGGAAGCCTCAGAGTCAGCCACTTGCTGAATTTAACTCAGCTGGTTCTGAAGCCACCAATGGAATGGGGCTGCAGCTGCAGCTCCCGGGGGCTGTTTGGCTAAAGGGGGCCTGGCAGCATCAAGAAAGGGGATGGGCATTCCCGCCTTGTGCCTTTGACCAGGACTAGGGAGTGGTTAGAAGCACCTGCAGTCTTGGGATTCAGTGCGGGAGGGAGTTGACCCTAGGTGGGGAAGTACTGCCTTCTCTGCCGCCTCTTGCCTTCCCGGATCGAACACCATTGTTGGGAAAGCCGACAGATTAGCCAGCATGGGCTCCCTTGTAACCAGATGAGCCACTGTCCCTGCAGCCAGGCCACCATGACTGTAGCGCTTAGTCTTATTTTCCGTGCGTAGAAGGGCCTAGCTCTAGCATAGACTTAGTTCCTGTTTTAAGCACATAACCGCTGGGGTGGCTTCCTGGGTGGCCTTGTTTATCTCTGTTTGGGTTTGGAGGGAAGAGGGTGAGTTGTACACTATGCAACTTTAGAGGGTGTCCAGGGAGGGGTGGGGGAGAAAACCCCTTCTGAGAGCCTTAGATGCTCATTCTCACAACTCAGCCTCCCTCCGCTCAACCCGGCGGCTGCTCTGACCACCTCACCTCTCTGCTTTCAGATGATCTCCCTTACTTGAGGTGCCCTCTCCATACCATCTTCAAACTCACTCCAGTGGCCTATGGTAACTCCAGGGGCTTGGGCGGGAGGCGGTCTCAGAGCAAGGGCAGGGCCTTTGAATGTTCTCTGAAGTTTGTCTGGAAGCTTAACTTTATCATCTCTCTGTGCTTGGGAAGTCTCGCCGGTGTCTTCTCTTTTGATCAGATGCATGCATGTATGTATGTTCTTGGGAAGGCATTGTTACTTTTATAGGCCCTGGGGGCTCTGGTGGAGGCTGCCAGCTGCAAGGTCGCTGGTTTAAATCCACCATCACCCCCACAGGAGAAAGATGAGGGTGTCCGCTCCCGTGAAGATATACAGTCAGCGCAACCCAGCAGAGCAGGTCGGCTCTAAATGGGTCTCTGGAGTGGGAATTACTTCCACAGCAGTGGGCTCTGGCCCAGGCCAAAAGGAAACACTATTTCTGCAGGCTTTTTTTGTTTTCTCCCCATCAAGGCCCCTTCTCTCTCCTCAGGGTGCAAGATGGAAACCATTAAATTTGACGTGGAGGCTGTGAACACTCACCGTGACAAGCCCTCTGTAAGTGTGCACCCACCGGCGAACATGCCAGGCCCCCTGCCACCTTGAGTCTTTACCCTTCGGCACCAAGAGACGGGGGTTCATTTAAGTTAAAAAAGACAGAAAGAAAAACCGATCCAGTGCTAACGTCCTTGTAGTCTGTTTGCTTCCAAGAGGAAGCGACGTCAGTCTGGTGATTTTTAATGAGTTCTCTTTCATAAGTGCTCACCTTCAGAGTTGGCTCTTGGACAGTCACTTAAATATGCAAAGCATTTGACTCAAGTGCGATGCAGACTCTGCTCCACCCCCCCACCCAGCTCCCCCGGTAGATAGCAGAGTCCAGCCGAGCCTGAACAGTGGGGTGAAGAGGTGTGGGTTTGCTCATAAGCCTGTCCCTGGTGACCCCTGTGATCTAACGATGAACCCCTTCCTGTCTTTGGGGCCATTTTCGGTTTAGGAGCACGACGCTTCGCGAGCTCCTCCCTCTCCGAGCGTCTCGGCTCCCCCGGGGCTGGGAGCCGGGGACCCCTATCTGCAGAGGGGTTGGAGGGCAGGGTGCAGTGGTGCTCAGCAGCGCGGTGCAACCCTTATGAGTGAACTTTGTGTGGTGTCCCTCCGTTTCCGATCAGAAGAACTTCCCCGAGAACCAAACCCCTGTCAGGATGAGAAGGAACAGCTTCACGCCGCTGTCCAGTGCGGATACAATAAGGCGCCCAAGAAATTACAGTGTTGGGAGCCGGCCCCTCAAGCCCCTCAGCCCTCCCCGTGCCCTGGATGTGCAAGAAGGGGCCGACCAGCCGAAGAGCCCAGTCAGCATTCCGGTGGTGTAACCCTGGGTGCCCCTCCTGCCCTCCTCAGTAATCACCACGGAGTCCTTGAACACTCAGCTCCTGCCCCCACCCTCGCCCCAGAGGCTGTGTGTCTTCAGACCAACTTTAGAATTCTCCAGCTGCAAGCGTCTCCCTAACCGCGGGCAGGTTAGGGCAGAGGGGAGGCTCAGTGGAGGAGCAGAAGGGATATGATCTCGCGCTGACTGGCACGAGTAGGGCGGAAGCTAAGCCTGTCCCGTCCCCTGGGTTCAGCTCTCCATTTCCTGTGGCCACGCTCACGAATGTCTTGTGTGGGTGAAGTGGGGTGGAGGTAGGACCCCATGGAAGCTCACTTTACTCTGCCCTCCAATTGTGTCCTCTCAGCCCTGCCTGCCCGTTGAACACCCCCACCCCTTGACTCCCCCGTCGTGCATCTGCCCTACGGATGGTGCGGTGTCCTGCACGACACTGGGGCGTGAGCCTGGGAAAGCAGGTGCTTGGCAAGAAGAGGTCTAGCATACCGGTCAGTACCCTCAGCAGCAGACTGGGGGTCTGGAGCACGCTGGCTCAGTTGGTGGGGACACCGGGTGTCTGTGTAACTGGAGGAGCTTGGCATAAAGCCTTCCGGGTGCTGTCGCGGTGGGCAGGGAAAGGACGGCGTAGGCTTCTGCTCTGCCAGGCTCCTGCGCAGGGTCCTCCCCAGTGGCTCCCAGCTTCCTGGCCACGCACAGCATTTCCCCTGCCACGCCAGGCCAGTGGCCGCCGTCAGAAGGAAGGAGGGAGATTCGAGGGTCACCACTGACATTCAAATTGCTCCCAGCAAAAGGCCTTAAAAGCAGCATTCCCTAAAGCTGTTTACCGTTTCCTCATGATTTTCGGCATAGTTCTTTTTCTTACAGTGAAATTTTAAAAGAGGTAACATACGTACACACGCGGTCTCTCAATGGGCTAGTCTACCTTGTTCGTCGGGGGAAACGGCACTGTCTTGATTTCCCGAGGAAAGCCTTGGGACCCTTTGGAATCTAGTTTTCGACTGTTTGTATTGCTTCCTTCCTCCTTTAGCCCCTGACTTATGAAGTCCCATCATTTTCTTTTCTTTATGGGGTGAAACCGGTCATTCATAAAGCAAGGATTGTTAACCCCTGAGGAGCCTGTGATGGCTTAAGCTCCCCCGGCCACTCTGTATGTACAATGTGGACTGATTTGTGGGGGACAGGGGAAATTCTAGAGTCATCTCCTGAGATTTTATTTTCATTTTTTATTTTTATTAAAAGAGTTTATTGGGGGCTCTTATAACAATCCATACATCAGTTGTATCGAACATATTTGTACATAGGTTGCCCTCATTCTTTTCTAGACAATTACTATCTATTGAGCCCTTGGTATCAGCGCCCTCCCCCGCCCCCCGGCGGCCCCTTGATAAATTGTTATTATTTTGATATCTTACACCAACCACTGTTTTCCTTCCCCCATGGTTTCTATAGAGAGAGGTGACTCCCCCACCCTGAAATTAGAAATTTATTTCTTAGAGGTAACTTAATGTACGTCAACTATTTTTCTAAAAGTAGGGTTTGTTTGGTTGGTTGGTTGGTGGCTTGGTTTGGTTTGGGTTTGGTTTGTAACAGAGGACCTTTTGTAGTGGTTCTCCTTTAAGAACACCTGTCAGAATCATCTGTGGAACTTCTGAACCAGGCCGACGCCTGTGTCTCCCTGTGTTAGTACTGACTCGGAATCTCTACTAGTGCAATGTGGACATGTGTGTAAGTCACTTGCCTGATGCTTCAGATTCACAGCCCAGGCTGAGAAGTGTACTTTATGAACTCACGTGGAACAAATTTGGAATTGTGCTTGGACAAAACATCAGTCTAGGAATTCGGAATTCACAGTAGTTCTCCAAGGACAGTTCTCTGGAAGGCGAGGTTTGGACCAAACGCTCTGTTCAATGACATGCTTCCTTACGAGGCTGCCTGCTGGGCTTTAGAGGGCTGGGCTGGTTCCGGTTTCCTCTTCATCCCGACACTGCAGTATGCTGTAGGACAAACCGCTACCTTAAAGCAATGTTCCTGGATAATAGCTGGGGGCTGTAAGCAGCCTGGGGAGAGCTGCTGGGGTGAAGCCTGCAGGTTGAGAAGGGGCATCCCCTCAGCCAGCTGGCCCCTGGCCTTGTGGCCTTGACTCTTAGACCCTGAGTCAGACAACTCAGTCTGTTTCCAAAGCTGGCTTACCTAGATTCTACCTCAAGTGATGCCCCGAGCATAAAGTGATCTGGCATTTCGGTTTAACCATTATAAAAGGTGCACTGAGAGTCCTTGTTTGTGGGTCTATAGGGCTGGCTGGGGTGCTGGGGGAGGGGGGGAGGAGTAAAGAAAACACCCTTTCCCGAGGAGAGGATATTTTAGACACAGGGCATGCCATTTATAACACAGGAACGTTTGCAAGAGCAGCTTGCTGAGCCGGTGATTGCTGATGGAGTGGAGTGTGATGGACTCTACTGGTCTCGTGTCCTAAGGCCGGGAGACTGTGCGAGGTAGGAGATGGGAACGGGCCAGTGGGATCCCTTGCCAGACTGAGATAGACAGGAGGTCTAAGTGGGCCTCCTCATGGAAGGCTACCTTCACCAGCTTTGGTTAGCTGGTTACATCTTTAGCCCAAATGGGTGTGGTCCTATCTCTGCTGTGAGGCGAGAGGAACTGAGAGTCAATCAGAGAAAAAAGGGGTCTCTAATCCAAGGACCTTGGAGTTAGGCTGTACTTCTTCGTAGTGAACGGGGAGGATTTTCCAACAGTAGCATGTGTTCCCTTGTTAGAACTCCAGGATCAGAGGCCACTGACGGAAAGGTTGCTTTTGGCTCTTGGCTTGCTGATTATTTGCCTCCCTCTGGGCTAGTTTACCCCCCTGCCCCTCCAGCAACTTCCTGAGGTGGTTTCAAGGTCCTCAGAGGGTGCTGCTGCCGTTCTGATTGTTGGGTGGACTCACAGCACCCCACGTGACAGAGTAGAACTGCCCCTTCGAGTTTGCTTGGTGGCGATCTTCCCAGATGCAGGCCTTTCACCTGCAGAACCCACCTGGTGGGTTTGAGCCACTCACCTTTCAGTTAGCTAGCAGCCAAGTCCCTCACCACTGTGCCACCCAAACCCAAACCCAGCTCACTGCCACTGAGGCAGTGCCGACTCTTAGTGACACATGGTGCCACCAGTCTTGAGGAAACTGGAACTCAACAGGTAGAGTTTCAGCATCTTCAGTTCTTAGAAGGCGAGTCCTTCAGAGAAGGTTCGTCAGGGATAAGTCGGGGATGTAGACGGAATGGTTGTGAACTCCACGTCCTGAAGAAATCCCCTTCCCAGCTTTTCTTTCCAGCCCTTTGCTCCTCTTTGTTTCCCTCCAACTGCAAGCACACACGCCCACCCGACTGTGATCCTGTCCCTAGCACAGTCCCCAGAGAAAGGGTGGATGCAGAGCGCCCTTTGCCTCGGAGACTTTGCGTTGGATCACAGGAGAATCTGGCGACGATGTTGGCAGTGACACCGCTGGTGTATGACAAGGACAGGCAAGGAAAATCAGAAGGAGGAAGCCAAGGGGAGATTTGGAGGAGGGCTCTCAAGCGCCTTAGAGAAGCCCTTTCCTCTCCGGGTCTCTACCCTCCCAAGTGGATTAGTTCCTGTTAACTGTATTCTTCTGTTAAAGGGATAAAAGAAAATGTTTTTAAAACATGTGTCCTGCTAGGGGTCTCTCCTATGTCACTGTTTCTGGATGTGTTTGCTTATTTTTGTTGTGTACATCATAGTTGTACTTGGTCCGAATGGCTGAATTGCTCCTGTGGATTTCTGGGTATCTCTCTCCGCAGTGTCTTCTGAGCATGGGTACTTTGGGGAGCCAAGAGATACAGCTGCTTAGGAACATGTCTTCTGGTTTTCCTATGAACAGATCTGAACGGTAGAGAAGACATCGGGACGTAGATGACCAAATGATAAGGGGAAAGGTCCTTGTAATTGAGGGAACTGTGTCTGGGTTTCATTGTCCTGTCACCTTGTCTTCTGCCAAGCTTCTCCAGCCACAACGGGTTTATTGTCAAGACATTTGGTAACCCTCCCAGATTTTCCAGTATGCATTTTGATTGGGTTGTATCTGAATCCTTAATATACATACATGACAATTAAGCCAGGTTACAACATTTGCACGATAGATCTGGAATACACCCTGTTGATGACACCGATATCAGAAGTACACCCAGGGATCTAATTTAGATTCTTGAGTGTTCCAAAGATGATCACAAGTCATATCTCTATGTGTAGTAGCCAGTAGTGTCTGGATGCTGACTGTTTACCACTCTAGTAAGGTCTTTATGCTGATTGACACAGACCTCCATGAATCTGTGTTGACTTTGTGCCAAGTGACTGACGGGACTCTGTTGGCTGACTGACGGACTCTGTGTCGGTCTGCTTACCAACAATCTGCCTGTCTTCCGCTGGTCACCTGCTGGTACCGGTCTGCGGTGTGAGCACCTTGTTGTCATTCTCTGTCTATAGCCTGTGTCCCACACAGAAAGGAACTAAGCACTCCACGTGTTTGCAAACACTGGGTTGTCAGTAGACATTCGTTTTAATAGGTGGCATTGTGATTTTTAATGCACCTCTAGAGCACATCCTCACGATTTTGTAACAGATGAACACTACTTTTCTTGTGTGGCACTTGGTGAGCTCAGCTGAGGGAATGGAATGCTGGTTCACAACTTGAAGTGGTCACCTCTGTCGAAGCTGTCTCCTGCAACCCTCTCCTAGGCAGGGTGTGAGTCTCACTGTTCATTCCTGAACATTCTATACCTTTCAGCTTTCCCTGTTAGGGAATGGAGCATTCCACTGAATCCTATTGCTGGTTTTGTTTTGTTTTCAGCCTGCCATGCCTTGGGATTTATTCCTAAGCTAACAAATAAAAGATGCCAAGGGAAACTTGTCTTCAAAAATTGATGTTAAGAGTTGATGAAAGCATTTTTCCCTCAGAGTCCTTTGATTGGAGATCTGTGACCAGCATTTGCTCATCCGGGCTCTTAGCTCGTGAATTCCTGGTGAACATGGTTTTCTGTGGAAGTACCAAGAGCACCTCATTCTGAGAGGGCCTGGTTTTGCTCTTCCATGGCAAAACCAAAAGGCTCCTCCGAGCTTTGCCCTTTGCAGCGCAGAGGAAGGAAGGGGAGAGAGCAGGAGCTGGGGCAGGAACTGGGCTGAGCGCCACCAGGTTGAGTGGCCCAGAGCTGGGGTAGAAAGCCAAGAAAGAGAGGCTGTCTGTTGGAAGACAGGAACCTAAGTCCTTGACAGCATTCTGATCCCTATCAGGTGAATATCATTATACTTGAAATGTGTTTTTCTGTGTGCGTGGAGAATGGGGAAATAAAATCATTGAGTTGCTCTAACCTATCAGAAGGCTTCTGGATTTCTTTTTGTTTTGTATTGTGGATTGTGCTGCTGCTGCACCCCCAACCTCCCCCCTACACACTCTCCCACCCTCAAACCTTGGCCGCATTGCCTTGCAAGTGGTCCAGCTGCAGATTTGCCAAAGCAAGTTCCTGCGTGACTGGGGGGGTCCGTGGTGTGGCTGGTTCTCTTCTGCCACCTTCTGGGGAAGTTGGGAAGAACACTATAAAGGCACGGGGAGTTGTGTGCACCTCAGAACCTCAGGAAGACATTTATTTGACCACACTGGGCTATGATTCCCCTGGGATTCATCCTATCTATTGGAAAGAAGCAATGTTGGAGATAACTTAGAATTCAGTGGGCTTTTCCTTCTAACAAATAGCCTGCCTGTTTCTGAAGTCATTACAGCCCATGGTATACAATAGCCGTCGGCTTCTTCAAGGACAAGGGAATACAGGTGGAATCATATCAGCATTCTCATTCCTGCACGCTGTACTACCTGGAGGTAATAAGGACCAGCAGACTCTGAGGCTCCACCCCACACCTGCTGAATCAGTGTCGTCATTTTTAACTGCATTCCTTGGGGACTCACATGCACATTTTAACATTCAAGACACAGCTCCGAGGGAAGAATTCATCACACGATCAAACATGACAACACCCGACTTCCGCTACGATGACTTGTTTCAGAACGGACTGCGACAGAGAATGAGTGGCAGGGCTCCTCCTCAGAAGCCACATAGCTCCCAACTGTGATGCCACCTTCTTGGCACAGTCAGAGCTCCGGCTGAGGCAGCCCACACGTTGTCTCCACGAGAATCCCTTCAACGTGTGTACCGTGGAGGCTGGGTCTGTAGTCTACAGTGAAGGTCTGCAAAGAGCACGGTGACCAGCATGACCACCAGGTT